GTTAGGGAGGTGGGTAAGGAAGGGAGATTTTACAGTATCCTTCCCCTGCCATGCCCACCAAGCCACACCCACAGAACCGGTGGTAAAAAACTTGAATCCCACCACTGGATGGTATCGCCTGCAGTTGCCAAAGGGGAAAAGAAAGAAACTCAGAAAGGAAGCTTCCCAACTTTTCAGACTATAAGAAAGACAGTGGGAGATTTGTGCTTTCAGACTTGCAAAAAATTCTTTTTAATATAGCCATATAGTGTAGTAGAATTAGCTTATGAACTACATGGGAAGGCTGACACATCTGCCTTGTTGCTTCTAGGGCAGACTTCAAAGCAAGAAATGCCTGAAGCTGCAGGTCTCCACCTGCTGGGTTACAAGTCCCCTTAAACTCAGTTTGGTTCGTTTTTGAATTGGCTGGCGTTGAGCTGCATAAGTAAATACGTTGGTTTGCTGTGGCACAAAGAGGAGGAGATCCCACAAGGAATACAAGCTGATCTGCTGGTTAGGAAACATTGAAGGAAGTTGATGCAACAGGTGCTCGTTGGGTTAAGTCAGCCTGAGGCTAGCCTCACCAGTGGAATATGCTGTCCTTCCATATTTTTCCTTTAACTTACTTTTAATACTGGCACCAAGAGGAGCCGCCCAGGATAATCCTACAGGGTGTGTGAAGTGCGAGCTTTTTGTGTGAGGCTTGAGAAAGCCACTTAGCCGAAACATCAATGGAGGCGGCAGTGTGTTAGAAAGATTAGCTTTGTGCCTGGGTATCAGCCTTCAAGGAAGGCAGGTCAAGGAACAGATGCCACCAGAAATAATGATATAGATCCGTGATGGCTTAGCTCAACTGTTCTGTACTAAAGCCGCTTGCTGCTGTGAAATTAAAACCGAACCTCCTCTCCTCTGCTTGCGTTTTGCATTTGGAGCAGATTTCTTTTCAGGTGGGGAGGGGGAGTAGAATTCCTTAGCATCAGAGCGTGTTAATAATAATATAGGAAATATTAATGCTGTGATGGTCATTTTGAAAAATCCTTTCTTAGTCAGCACCTAGAAGCCAAGAGGAACATACATGCCAAAATTTCAAGTTTGTAGGCTTTACGGTTCTGGAGATTTTGTGATGAAGTGTGAGGGGTATTTTGCTTTTATATATATAGATTCCTTCCTCCTTCTATTTTTCCCAAATCAACGCTGTGAGGTTGACTGGGATGGGAAAGAAGACTGGCCCAAAGTCACCCAACCAGCTTTCATGCTTAAGGTGCAAACAGAACTCACAGCCTCCTGATTTCTAAGCCAGCATCTTGATTGCTACGCCAAGCTGACTTTCTTCTTCCTAGTCATCTCAATCTTTTCAATCTTCTTGAACTTTTCCTTTGATACTATTCCATTTTTTTTAACCTTATCTATTTTGCTACTTTATTTTTATTAGTCCATGATTATAATTTTTTTAAAAAAATCTGTTTATGGAAACACCTCTTATATCTTCTTGGCTTGCTATAGAAAGCTTGCAGGGAGAATCTGTTTCCAGAATTTTCAGAAAGGTAAAAATATCCCTCTCGATCTCTTTCCCCCTTTCAAATTGGTGCTAAAAGATCAATTCATTTGAACTCAACTGCTGGCAGCTTCACCGATGCATCCTCCCAGGTGTTCTTGAGAGCAGCATAGAAGAGGATTGGCATCTGTTTTTTATTTTAAAATAAGTTAGAGACTAATTTCTAATCTCCTGCTATCATTAGAATGTATTTTTGTCAGGGCAGTATTGTGTAACCCGTTGTGAGCACATTCCAGGGATAAGGGACTTGCATTGTACAAAACTTTTTTGCCTTCAGAGCAGTTCTCTTTTACATTCGTGTACGTTGTGTGTGTGAGAGAGAAAAAAATTAACAGATCTGTAAAAATAATAAGCTTTTTTTCTGCTGTCTACAATTGCTTTTCGTCCATTTTCTACAACCTGTTGTGCTCTGGTTGTGCTGGACTTCAGCCCCATCCAGGGCATTGGGAAAGCTGACCAAGCACATTGTAAAAGAGTAATAGACCGTATAGGTAACAAGGTGTAATCCTAGTTGCTGGAGATAGATGCTAGTCCTCATCATTTAGCTCTCTGTCAGTGTGGATGGAGGATTACAGGATTTAGTGTTAGGCACATCTGGAGAGATCTGGATTACGAAAGGCTATTTTGGTAGAAGAATGAAGGTCAGGTTAAGGGTTAGGGTTAGGAAACACTGAGCATTTCCCCATCTGGAGACCACCGGAAGTGAGCCAGTTTGGTGTAGTGGTTAAGGCACCAGGCTAGAAATTGGGAGACTGTGTGTTCAAATCCTGCCTTAGCCATGAAAACTGGCTGAGTGACTCTGGGTCAGACACATTTGCAGCCTTGAGTTAAGACAAAGTCATTGTGTACCTGTGTCCAGGTAAAATCGTCTTGGTGGCATCGACTCCAAAATACATTTCATTGGTTTATACAGGATTTATTCTCAAATGACAGTTTTGGGGGCAGATAGCCCAGCCAATTTCCAACCAAGATCTCGGTCTTTATGACATGCTGAGCCTTCAATCAAGACAGTGTTCACATAGCATACAGGCAAATCAGTGGCTTAAGAGGATGGTCTGATTCCCACAGTTTGCTGAGATGTTGGCTGGCTTCCCATACCACAACCAACCATTCCCATTTTAATCTTCTCCAGTGTATTGTGTGAACCCAGTCGTATTGCGCCATAATATCAAAGGAGTTTTTACATCAGCACGGTGAAGGGTCTATTTCTCTGCCAACGGTTGTGTTGCTTAAAGGGTGTGGTGTTGTCAGATGGCAGGCTGAGACGTGACAGATGAAGCAGAGCCAAAATCATCTCCTATTAGCACCATTTCTTTTCTTTAATTTACTTTTAACACTTTTTCCTCTCTTCCTTCCGAGCTGTAAGTCCCCAGGGGAAACTCTTCTGAGGAATCTGACCTGATCTGTTTGCAAAATAGTTTTGAAATTAATTCAGAAATTGTTTCATGTTAAGGCAAGAGGCATAACGTAGCCAAATTTAGCAGGATATGATAATAGCCATCAACGGCCACATAGAGATAAACAACATCTACATACCACTCAAAAGAGGCAACCCAAAAGCCCAACAGGAAACAAAAAGTCCAAAACAGGTATCTTCAGCAGCAAGCAATAGCAATACCACTTAGACTTATATACCACTTTATAGTGCTTTACAGCCCACTCTAAGTGATTTACAGAGTCAACCTCTTGTCCCCAACAATTTGAGTCCTCATTTTACCCACCTCGGAAGGATGGAAGACTGAGTCAATCTTGAGCCAGTGGGACTTGAACTGTCAAATTGTAGGCAGCTGGCTGCAGCAGAAGTAGCTTGCGGTACTGTACTCTAACCACTGTGCCACAGAGGCTCCATATGAGCAGAGACCAACATTAATACTAGATCAACGTAGAAATAAACTATACCACAATCTAGAAACTACCAACTTAGACAAGCATGCTAAGAGTAAACAACAACTAATCAATGAACCACCAAAGATATTCCCACCAACACTGACAGGGTAAGCCATTAGTATATACAACATCACTTGCGTCAGGGGCGCCTGTGGTGGCCCACGCATTCTGCCAGTGAACAAACTCCGTTTTCTCTGGCAGAGTCACCGCAGGCTGGTCCTTCGCAATTTCCAGGGCTCTCAGCCTTGAGTTTGACACCCCAGTCATAGAACAATTGTTAAGTGAGCTTTGTCCCATTTTACGACCTTTCTTATCATACTTGTTAAGTGAATTATTGCAGTTAAGGTAGTGACGTGGTTATTAAGTGAATCTGGCTTGCTTGCTTGCCAGAAGATCACAATAGGGGATCACATGATCCCAGGATAGTGCATCCATCACGAAGCAATTGCCAAGCATCGAAATTCTGGTCATGAAAATACTGCAAGAGTTGTAAGGGTGAAAAATGGCCACAGGTCACTTTTTTTTCAGTGCTATTGTAACTTTGAATGATCCCTACCTAAATAGAACATAGAATAATAGAGTTGAAAGGGACCTTAGAGGCCTCCTAGTCCAACCCCCTGCTTCAGCAGGAGACCAGGGGTGGGCTGCTAGCGGTTCGCCCCGGTTCGAGCAAACCAGTAGTTCCGGCGGTCAGTTGGCTCCGCCCACCCGCCCCTGCTCTAGTCCAGGGGTCTCCAACCTTGGCAACTTGAAGACTTGTGGACTTCAACTTTGCTGGCTGAGGAACTCTGGGAGTTGAAGTCCAAAAGTCTTCAAGTTGCCAAGGTTGGAGGCCCCTGCTCTAGTGTGTCCTATATTTCTGAGTTTTGCAGCTCAGCTGATTCGTGCGGCACAGTGGATTGCCGCACGAATCAGCTGTTGTACTCACTGGGGCTGCAACACAAGGTGAGTTATAGAGCTGAAAATGGGCAGTTTTCAATATCACACCGGTTGAATCACATCACTGCAGGAGACCTTATACCGGTGATGGCAAACCTATGGCACATGTGCCAGAAGTGGCACGCAGAGCCTCTCTGCCGGCACACGAGCCATCATCCGGAACTGATCCACTGTGCATACGTGCTCGCCTTCCACCAGCCAACTGATTGTCGGGTATCTGCCGCGCATACACGGGGGGAGATGCGCATGCATGTACCAGGGGTGGGGGCGCGGGGGGTTGCACTCGCATGCGCAGAGGCACGCGGTGTGCACACATGCATGCACAGGGGGCGGGGGGTCACACGCACATTGCATTATGGGTGCAAGCACACTTGCATGCGCACTTTCGGCATGCGACGACGAGAAAGTTAATGGCTGTCCCATCTCTTCTTGAAAGCCTCCAGTGATGGAGCACCTATTTCTGAGGACTACCTGAGCACTAAAGGAACAAACGTTGCATGCATTTCCACACAAATCGAGTTCTCCTATCTCTGGATAGTGAGAAAATGCCGGAGCTCCTTTACAACAGCCCCGTCCTTCCAAAAAGTCATTCCAAGTGGTCTTGATAATAATAATTAAAAAGGTTCTTTTCATTTTATAGAACTCCCGGAGAACTGGACGGACACCCGAGAGACCTTGCTGGAGGGAATGCTCTTCAGCCTGAAATACCTGGGCATGACATTGGTTGAGCAGCCCAAAGGAGAAGAATTATCTGCTACGGCTGTCAAAAGGATTGTGGCAACGGTGAGGGACCCAGAGCCCGTTTCCATTCACACCTTCCCTGTCTCCTATTGTACCTAAACAGGTGTTTCTCAACCATGGCAACTTTAAGAGTGGTGGGATTCAGAATTTTTTACTACCCCGGTTCTGTAGGCATGGCTTGGTGGGCGTGGCGTGGCTTGGTGGGCATGACTTGTTGGCTGTGGCAGGGGAAGGTTATTGTAAAATCCCCCTTCCCTCCACACCCCACTAACCTGCTTTCCAGCTCCCTTCTCCTGTGCAGGGCAACAAAAGGAGACCCAGCTAATCAGCTGGGACTCAGGAGGCGGAGAAGAGATGGGGGCGGGGCCAGTCAGAGGTGGGATTTGCCGGTTCTCCGAACTACTCAAAATTTCCACTAGAAAAAAACTTCTGAACTAGTCAGAACCTGCTGAATACCACCACTGGGGTGGACCAACTCCCAGAATTCCCCAGCCAGCTGCCTGGGGAATTCTGGGAGATGAAGTCCACCCGTCTTAAACTTTCCAAGATTGAGAAAAATGCTTCCCTAAGCAATCCGGGTCGGCGACCCACTGTTGCGAACAGGACAATAAGAATAATATATTTCCACAGCTCTCCCTATTTAACACTGGCTGGATGTGAGAGATGGTCCCGAAAACATGGGTGATAAGGGGGTTTTCAGTCTGCTTAAGATCTATAATTTAAAACCAATTAGCATTTTTATCACTTGCTTTAAAACGTTTTTCGTCCCTCTCCGTTGTTGTTTCTTTATGGACTTCATACATTTTTTATGTGTCTGCCTGTGACTACATTAACCTGCTCATGGAGGAAGAATTTATTTTCTAATTTCTCCTGGTTAACTTAGACACCCAATAACGCCTATTTGGGCAATCAGTGCACACAAAAAACCCTGGGTTTGTTGTGTACATGTGCCCATTAATCCTCGACTTGCAACCACAATTGAGCTCAAAATGTCTTTTCCTTTTTTATATATATAAAAAGTTTTTTTTATTTTTAACAACAAACAGACAAATACAAGAATAAAACAATGAAATAAAACCATCTTTCAATTGTACAGTGTACAATATGTGTAGTCTTTTCCTCTTAAATTTAAATTTACCTTCATATTACATTAATCAACTTTCCATGTCATGTTATATTATTATTAAACCATCATTAGACCTTAGTTTCAAATGCACATTATCCTTTAGAGCAAATGTCATGCCCCTGGTGGAGACGGACTCTGAGGGAGAGGAGGAACAGATGACAGGGAGTGGAAGGGTGGCTTCGGAGGTTGTGGAGGAGGCTGGGGAAGGGCAGAGGCCGGCTGAGCAGTCAGAGGAGGACCCAGGCCCATATCCCTTCTCCATCCTAGGGCACGCAGGGAGGAGAGGATAAGGGAGAGACATGGTTTACTGGGGAGGAGAGGGCCTTGATCCTCTTCATGGGCTGCAGCTGTGACAACTGAATAAGAGCAGACATGTGTATGGGCCAGTGCTGGAAACAAAGCGTGTAAATATCTCTAGTTTATAGTTCCTCTCCGAGTTTGGCGTTCTTCCCACTGTGTGTTATCTGTGGACGTCCTCCAGCCCTTATCTTGCCTGGTTTGTGTTGCTTTTTACTCTTTATAATTTAAACAGCATTTTCCTCCTTTTCGTAACTGCTTGTGGGGGAGGTTTTTTTTGTCTTCCATCAAAGATATTCAGAGCTTGGAAGCAAAGTGAAGGAATAAAAGGGGCTCACCTGTTTTCTGTGACTGTGTTTGTTTTGTATCCCACCCTGGGTCATCACAGCAAATCTCAGTTCTTACTAATTTTAATTCATTTTAAAAGCCATTCAATAATAATCAATCATAACATTATCATTGCTGTTTAAATGTCTTTTCCTAAGTGAGACAGTTGTTAAGTGAGTTTTGCCCCATTTTATGACCTTTCTTTCTTGCCACCATTGTAAAGTGAATCACTGCAGTTGATAAATTAGTAACCCGGTTGTTAAGTGAGTCTAGCTCCCCCATTGTCTTCGCTTGTCAGAAGGCTGCAAAAGGGGAAATCTCGCGACCCAGGGACACTGCAACCCTCATAAGTATCAGCCAGGAGCCTGAATTTGGATCATGTGACCATAGGGATGCTGCCACGGTCATAAGTGTGAAAAATAGTTGTGTCCCTTTTTCAGTGCCTTTGTAACTTTGCACGGTCCCTAAAGGAACTGTTGTAAGTCGAGGACCACCTGTATTTGTGTTGGTACAGGTAGTCCTTGACTTAACAACCATTCGTTTTGCAGCTTGTTCGTCCTATGGTCAAAATTCAGGTGCTTGGCTCATATTTATAACGGTTGCAGAGATTTCCCCTTTTGCAACGTCTTGACAGGCGAAGTCAAAAATGTGGCACTGAAAAATGTGTCCAATGAGTGGTCCTTGCACTTATGACCACCGTCGCATCCCCATGGTCACATGTTCAGAATTGGGGTGCTTGGCGACTGGTACATATTTATGATGGTTGGAAGGGCTCAGGGTCAGTCACAGCTGGCTTCTGACAAACGAAGTCAGTGGGGAAAGCCAGATTTGCTTAATGACCACCTGGTTCACTTAACAACTGCAGTGATTCACTTAACAACCATGGCAAAGAAGGTCGTAAAATTGGGTGCCACTCACTTAACGACTCCCTTGCTTAGCAATGGAAATTCAGGTCCCAGCTGTAATCATAAATCAAGGACTATCTGTAAAGTATTGATTGCATACATATATAAGCATAGCATATATACATATAAGCCTATATGTATATGTATATGTATATGAATATGTATATGTATATGCATATGTATATTTCCACATTTAGCCAGTCCTGCTGGGAAAGACAGAATGGACAATTTCACTGCGTCTGTTAGATTTAACTGACCTTTCTTAGTTATCAGCCGTCCCTTTTTCCAAACGATCCCTAAATTGAGTTTTTCCTGTAATGCAAATTGTCGTGCCAGTCACACTGTATTCACCTTGAGAAGAAAAGTATTTGTCAATTAAAAAAAAGTTCAGTGACATTTTTCATTTGTTCCGTTATTGTTTCAAAAAGTGAAGTTTAATCAATTTTTTTAAAGGACATTTTGATATAGATTTAAAAATCCATTCTAATCCATTCTAAATTTAAATAAGTTTCTTCCTACCAAAACAATGCATTTTTGGCATACTGCTACGTAAGAAACGAAGTGACCACGTTTGCTAGATGTTAAGGGCATTTCCAGGGTTTTTCTTCTTTCTCTGCCTGTTAATTGTTGAATTACAACAAAAATCAGTTAGAACAAATCAACGTTTACCTTTCTTGATTAATTGGTGGGAGACCTTTTCATTCAACAGAATTGCAGTTTTCAATTAGACCAATTAATACTTGCAGTCCTGATTTTAACTAATGTTATCTACTTTCTTTATTGAGCTGGGGTTTTGTTTTAATGACTTACTGAATTGTTGCATTTGGAAAAAGACACATTGTGATTGGAATAGTTTTACCCCTACAACAATTCTGCAACAACAAGGAGCTGCTGATACAGTTCTACAGAGGAATTACTGAGTCTGTCATCTGCACCTCTATAACTGCCTGGTTTGGCTCTGCAACCCAACAGGACAGACACAGACTTCAGAGGGTAATTAAGACTGCAGAAAAAACAATTACTACCAACCTGCCTTCCATCAAGGACCCGTATACTGCACGAGTCAAAAAGAGGGCTGTGAAAATGTTTACAGACCCCTCGCATCCTGGACATAAACTGTTTCAACTCCTTCCCTCAAAATGATGCTATAGGGCACTGCACACCAGAACAACTAGACACAAGGACAGTTTTTTCCTGAACGCCATCACTCTGCTAAACAAATAATTCCCTCAACACTGTTCAACTATTACAAAGTCTGAATTACTATTACTATTAATCTTCTCATCACTCCTTATTACCCATCCCCTCCCACCTGTGACTGTATGATTGTAACTTTGTCGCTTGTATCCTTACGATTTATATTGACTATTTCCTAGTATGATTTGATTGCTTATTGTATCCTATGACTATCATTAAGTGTTGTACCTGATGATTCTTGACTCTTGACGAATGAATGTATCTTTTCTTTTACATGCACTGAGAGCATTTGCACCAAGACAAATTCCTTGTGTGTCCAAACACATTTGGCCAATAAAGAATAATATTCCATTCTATTCTATTAGCACTGTTACCATCCTATAGACTAAGATATATAGAATAGAGTAGGCCAGTCCAACACACAGTCTGCGGATCATACATAGCCTGCTAAGTAGCCTTGTGTGTGACCCAATGGCACTTTTTAAAAAGTCATCAAATTTGCTGCCTCCAGAAAGATCCCCTGCCAAGAATCTCCAGTCCTTAACGTCCCTTCTGAGACGTTAGCTGCATTCCCATTACAGGTAGTCCTTGTCTTACAACCACAGCTGAACTCAAAATTTCTGTTGCTAAGTGAGACAGCTGTTGAGGGATTTTTGCACCATTTTATGACCTTTCTTGCCACAATTGTTGAGTGAATCACTGCAGTTGTTAAATTAGTAGCATGGTTGTTAAATGAACCTGGCTTCCCCATTGAGTTTGCTCGTCAGACGGCCGCAAAAGGGGATCCCATAACCCCAGGACATTGCAATTGTCATACCTGTGAGTCAATTTCCAAGCGTATGAATTTTGATCGTATGTCCTTGGGGAGGCTGCAGTGGGAAAGGTCACAAGTCACTTTTTTTCATTGCTGTTGTAACTTCAAATGGTTATTAAACAAACTGTTTAATATCTGTTTTCTAATCTGCAGCTCTTCCTTTGTCTCCCAAGGTCATTCCTACATACCATTACACCTGAGGAAATGAAATGAAATATGGAAATGAATATATAGAAATATAGAGAAACCTAACCATATGACTTACTAAGGGATAGGAAATACTGAACGACCATGGAATACTAATTGGCTGTGATTACAGAACTCACTTAACCTAGTTAATTTCTGGGGTTGTGCAACACAGTGTGATATAATTAATCAGGCTGGATTATGTAACTCACTAAGCCACCCACAGACCTAACTAGGATTTTTTTAAAAAACTAATCAAGCTTAGCATGTTCTGGAATTGCGTTTGTAGATTTTTGCTTGAGCTATTAGGGATAGCAAAGTGAACACAACCAAAGAAAGTTAAAAGGAGATGCAAAGAAATGAGAGAGGAATGCAACGGAATGTCAGAATAATACCAGGTCTTCCATCCTGCAACCTTTTGTTAGACATTCCACCTGTTAATACTTCATTGTCATGTGCTTGGAAGTGAAGTTGAAGAACGCGAAGTAAAAATGTTCTTAACTCGCTCTGAAAGCCCACCAGAATTCACTTCATAAAATAGTGTGTTATTCATAAAACAGATGCAATTTTAGAGGATCAAACTTCAGTAAAATGGTGATAGATTATAGAAGGAATTCAAAGGTTGCTCGAATAAAAGAAATTCCATCTAACCTTGTTCTCTGTCAAATAAAGATGAAGGGTGTAAGCTTGGTCCTTCCTAATGCCCTTGGCACTCAGGAGAATTTATAGGGGCGGAAGATTTTCAGGGGTTTTCCTGAGTATTTCTTTAATGATGCAAGTAGTTTGCTTTGGTTTGACAATATTTCTGTCTATAGGCAAAGTACAATAAAAGAAACTGCTTAGAAGTAACTCTTTCTTGCTTTGAGGGGCCTGACAGTAAGATTGTGAATTGATTTATCTTTGTGGCAACATCTGAATGCAGTTCTTTTCTCTATTCCAAGGCAAAGGCCAGTGGGAGAAAACTCCGAAAAGTGACTCTGAAAGTATCACCCAGAGGAATCGTTCTCAGTGACAGCATAACAAATGAATCAATTGAAAACGTGTCAATATACAGGTACGCCTCATCCATACCTTTCAAATTTTCAGAGCAAATAATTAAGTCCTCTCCTTCCCAGGAGAGCGTTCGAAGGGTTAACGTTTGAAACTGTAATTAATAGAAATAGGATATTCTTTTTTCTTCTTTTCTCTTATTTACATTTAATACTCTAAGGCAGTGGTGGCTAACCTATTTGGGCTCCTGTGCCAAAAATTGTGCACGCACTTGCACATTCATGCTCGTGTGCCAACACCCAGAAGGCAATGCGCACCCCCATGTCTCCTACTCATGCGTGTGCAATCCCCACGCATCCCTGCCGCTTCCTTACCTGCACTGCACCCCACAGCTGATTTTCGGCCGGTTTGAGGCCTTTTTCGGCCTACCAGAGGCTTGAGGAAGGCTTCTGTATGCTTTGCAGGCCGAAAACTAGCCCCGTTTTGTCACTTCTGGTATTTTCGGAAAAACAGGAAGTGATGAAATGGGCCTAGTTTTTGGCCTGCAAAGCCTGCAGAAACCTTTCTCAAGCCTTTGGGAGGCCAAAAAAGGCCTCAAACTGGCCAGAAATCAGCTGTTAGGTGTGCACATGCACAATGAGGTAAGTTTGCCTGCAGCTCACGTGCCAACACAAATGGCTCTGTGTGCCACTTGTGGCACGTGTGCCATAGGTTCACCATCACGGCTCTAAGGCAATTGTATCACAGATTATTAGGTATCTATTACATACAAATCATTGCATCGAAATCACATTGTACTAAAACTGAGATGATGGAGCAATAGATGGTCAGTATGGATAGATTTAATAATATGTTAAAGAACTGAGCTAGTTTTATATTAACATTTTATGGATACACTTTTTGTTTCCACAGGTGTCACTCAGTCATTCATTATTCCATTTTTTTGTTCTGATTTTATTAGCACAGCTATATTTTTGGTGATGCTTCATCATATCGTCTGGTTGATACACTTACCCATAGAGGTTACCTTTGTGTGTGTGTGTGTGTGTGTGTGTGTGTGTGTATGTAGTACTTTCCATTATTTAGTGATACAGTCATTAAGTAAATTGTGCTGATTTATTGACCTTGTTTGCAGTGATTGTTAAGCAAATCCAGCATTACATTATTTTCGCCTCATTTTACAACCTTTTTTGCTAAGGCTGTTAAGTGAATCACTGCAGTTGTTAAATTGGTAACACGATTGTTTGGTGCATCTGGTTTCTCCCACTGACTTTGCTTGTTGGAAGTTTGCAAAAGGTGACCACATGACCTCAAGACACTGCAGCTGTCATAAATACGAGTCAGTTGCCGCAGGTCTGAATTTTAATCACGCGACCATGGTACTAAGACCCTTTTTTCACTGCCCTTGTAATTTTGAATGGTCACTAAATGAGCTATTGTAACTCGAGGATGACCTGTAATTAAGTAGATTTAATGACAAGATTGTAAGGCTGCTTTTAAGGAAGGACTCAACCTTTACGATGTTGACCAGACAGGGAACACAATCAGATAAATTAATACTAGATGGGCTCCAGCATGAGTTTGAAAACTTGGAAGACTAAATCTCTGATCCTGGTGACTGACCCAGAGTGGATCTTGAAACTAATTCTACTGTACTGTAAAGCTACATCAGAGGTCTCCAAACTTGGCAACTTTAAGACTTGTTAACTTCAACTCCCAGAATTCTCCAGCCAGCTGGAGGATTCTGGGAGTTGAAATCCACAAGTCTTAAAGTTGCCAAGTTTGGGGATCTCTGAACTACATTAACAGAACCTTGCAAGTCTTAAAGTGCAGTTCTCCTGCTGTTGCCTTTATAGCCTGAGAACTTAGGGGAGGGTCCCTTCTGAGCCTCTTGCTCCACCCACTGTGCAGCTGCAGGCGATGCTGTCTCTTATCTGACTTATGTTCCCTAGGCAACATCTCTTCAACCTGCCTCCGAGGGCCTTTCCCACATCCCGTTAGGAAAAAAGGCATCTTCCAATCCCAATGAGTAGAGTAGAGTAGAGTAGAGTAGAGTAGAGTAGAATAGAATAGAATAGAATAGAATAGAATAGAATAGAATAGAATAGAATAGAATAGAATAGAATAGAATAGAATAGAATAACAGAGTTGGAAGGGACCTTGGAGGCCTTCTAGTCCAACCCTCTGTCTAGGCTGGAAACCCTACACCACTTCAGACAAATGGTTATCCAACATCTTTTTAAAAACTTCCAGTGTTGGAGCATTCACAACTTCTGGAGGCAAGTTGTTCCACTGATTAATTGTCCTAATTATCAGGCAATTTCTCCTTAGTTCTAAGTTGCTTCTCTCCTTGATTAATTTCCACCCATTGCTTCTTGTCCTGCCTTTAGGTGCTTTGGAGAATAGCTTGACTCCCTCTTCTTTGTGGCAGCCCCTCAAATATTGGAAGACTGCTATCATGTCTCCCCTAGTCCTTCTTTTCATTAGGGTAGACATGCCCAATTCCTGCAACCATTCTTCATATGTTTTAGCCTCCAGTCCCCTAATCCTCTTTGTTGCTCTTCTCTACACTCTTTCTGGCACTTTAATACAATACAAGATCAGAAGAGAACTAATATGCCCCCCCCCAAAATAGAAAATCCAGCAAAGAAAAACTCTGAGACCAGTAGGCAGATGCAGAGGAACAATCTATGCACTTGTTTAAGAACAAGGAATTCTTCAAGGAGTTCCTGAAAGCAATTAATGAGGCATGTAATCCTTGGAGAAACCAGTGGCAGAGCTCGGCCCACTTAGAGGAATAACAGACCCCCTCATTACTGCCAATTTTTGACAGAACACTGAACACATTTCTGTTCCAATTCCCATGCGTTTAATGGACCACTCTGGGGTCAGAATAAGTCTTTCCTGCTATTTTTCCTCTTTTTTTAAGTGGAGGACTACCTGTAAATAAAAATACTGTACACATATATTCTACTTGCTGTATTTTCTTGGCTAGTTCTGGAGGACATTCTTGGAAGAGGTGTGAAATGGTGAGGATGCCCCTCAGACCATGGACTATTCGTGTTATCTTCACACTGCTTTGAAGTTGCCTGCATTTGTTTTCTTGGCGTTTGACATTATTCTTTGGAGGATTTCTTTATTGCTGTTCCATCAGTTCCATCGGCATCAAGGGATTTGCAGAGCAGGAGGCAGGAGCTTCAAAATGAGTGATCTCCAAGAGAGCCACAGCCCAGATCCTCCTGTTGGATGCGCCCACCCGTCCCAAGTTGCCTTAGGAACTAAATGCATTCTTAAAGCAATGTCATCTCATCATTGGCAGGCGATAAATCTCTCCCTCCCCGATCGCAGCAAACTGTTGCTTCCATTCTCTTCTTCTGAGAAAGGTTATCGGATTGCTAAGCCTGCTTTTGTCCGATAAAAAGGCAATTCAGAAGATACACTGATCACATGAAAGTTGGTTGTGGCTGCTCCAGAGAAATGAGTGCTGAATACTACTTAGTCTTTAGGTAGAGCCTAATTTCTAGGCTTTGGTCTGGTCTGAGCATGGATGGGAAGATCTCAAAGGCCAGGCTGCTTTCCTAAGCACCTAGCAATGTCTTCTTGAGAGCTTCTTGTGACCTTCTCCTATTCTGAACCTAAACCAAAGGTTCACACTTGGGGGGATGGTGAGCGCCATGGTGACAATCAGTGGATCTTGGACAAAGAAATGGGATCACAAAAATCCTTACTGAAAGAAAATGAGAATAGAAGGGAATAACAGAGTTGGAAGGGACCTTGGAGGTCTTCTAGTCTAACCCCTTGCTTAGGCAGGACACCCTAGAGTATTTCATACAAATTGTTATCCAGTCTCTTTTTATAAATCTGCAGTGTTGGAGTATTTACAACTTCTGGAGGCAAGTTGTTCCTCTGATTAATTGTTCTAACTGTCAGGAAATTTCTCCTTAGTTCTAAGTTGCTTCTCTCCTTGATTAGTTTCCACCCATTGCTTCTTGTCCTGCCCTCAGGTACTTTGGAGAATGTTTCCTCTCATGTCCTAAAGGTGCTTTCCCAAAAGGCAACTGGACTTTCTTGGTTTTTTTTCTTGCAAATGTTTCACTTCTTATGCAAGAGGTTTCTTCAGTTCTTCAGAACTACTTCAGAACTTCTTCAGAACTTTTTCAGAACTGAGGAAGCTTCTTGGATGAGAAGCAAAACATTTTCAAAGGAAAAAAACCGAGAAAGTCCAGTTGCCTTTTGGAAAAGCACCTTTGGGACAACCATGACTTGAATGATTGAGAATCTCCATAGACATTTCTTCTCCCATATCTTTTTAGAAAGCTGTCCAACCCAGATTTTTCCAAGGGGCCTTCAGAACAGGTGATGCAACTTAGTTGGAAACAGCCAGCCCAGGAAGGAAATAATTATTTAGTTCAGGGATAGTTGGCTTTTATTTAACTGAGTTCAGTGTTACTATTTCACTATTGTATCCCTTTTGCCAAACAACCCAGAGTCTTAAGGAGACACATCTGAAGAAATAAGTAACGCTGACATTTCATGACAACCACATTGACCACTTTAGATGATCCCTCCCTGTCTGCTTAATCATTTTTTCCCATCTGGCACATAAAAATTAGAATTTGGCATGATTAAAAGAATCCTCCTTGCAAGATATTGTGGGAGGATCACACAACCTCTGCAGTGGAAAAGCCCTTTATATAAAAGAGCAAGATTTACCAGTGTTACTGGAGTTTGAAACAATGCTGTTTCTCTTTTATTCGGCCTCTCATTTTAAGAATGAAAAACAATGCTCCTTAGAAAGCAGCAGTTTGAGGAAGATGAATAGCTGTTTGTTTTCCCTTATTCCCCCAATGTTATAAGATCTCCCACTAGAAAATTCTGTTACTCCATCCGCTTTCATCTAATAAATTTTATGAATCTGTAGCTAAGCTTTCATTTTTCTCATCGGGAAAGCAAACGTTTACAGTGAAGCCTCATATTAAATATTGGAAGTCAACAACTACCCAGCTTCTACTTAAGCTTCTAGTCCTTATGGCAATAGTGGTGAACCTTTTCGGCACCGAGTGCCGAAACGAGAGCGCATGCACGCACCAGAAACCAGAGAAGCAGCTCCCCGACGTGCACGCACGGGAGTACCAGAAACCGGAAGCTTAGCTTCCCGGCACTCACATGCGTGCCAGCGACCTGGTCTTCTGGTTTGTAACGTGCATGTGTGCATGAAGACCAGCTGGCCAGTGCACATGTGCGCTCTGGAACCCAGAAGAGCAACGGGTGATAGCTGGAGTGCCCAGAGGAATGGGTCTGCCTGCCACTTCCGGCATGCATGCCATAGATTAACCATCACGGCCTTATGGTTTTAAATATTAACATGAAGAAATGACCAGTGAAAGACAACATTAGAAACCTAATTAAAAATGGTAATTGTTGTTATGAAATATGTACAGAATAACCCTTGAGTAACCAGGAATGCACATGGAAACGTTTATGAGAATAGCTATGAATAATTATCCAGCCACACACAGATAACACCAAATTGAGTTAAAGTTTACTTTAAGAAATAGCACAGGCGAATAAACGGTCCAGGTCATATACGTTTTACAGTCCAAAGAATATCCAATTACAAAATCTTCTTACCGGTTGCCTTTGTCATTTCCAGTAAACAAAGATATCAAAGTATAAGCTCAGCATAAACCTTAGATAGCAACAGAATGTCAGAGAGACAGAATGCCAGAGAGCAAGCTATGATCTCTAGCTCCCTCTTATGGTAATTTGCAATATAATCAACCGATCGGAATATAGTATAAATCAATACAGTGATTTTATCTTAAAGCTACAAACATACATTGTTGGTTTATATATTGCCAACCCAACTAATTGGTGGAACAGATTCCTAACAGTTGTGATGTTCACAGCCTTGATAGTTTCCTTCACCCAAGTCTGACATCTTAAAAACCATGATTGAAAGGGTTTCTTTGGCTCAAGGTGCCTTTCTGTCTTGTGTTTTGTGTATATACTGTTTGGCAAAAAGCGACAATTCTTTCATTAACGGTATTATTAAATGCCTATTTTTTTTCTTTTTCCCACTGACACTGGGAGATTGTTAAACATCTAAACATTGTGGAGGGATTAAAAGTTAGAACTGACCCATTCAGTGTGTTTGGCCCATTTAAGAATGCTTAGTGGGCCCCATATATGCCATGTGGGAACTCTTGGGGTCCATAGTTAGTATTTATTTATTGATTAATTGACTGGATTTTACCTTTATTACTTTATAATTAACTTTATAAATAACTTTATAAAACTTTATAAATAACTTTATAAAGTGATGAACATACCTAACACTCCTTCCTCCTCCTTTTCCCCCCACAATAACAACCCTGTGAGGTGAGTTGGACTGAGAGAGAAAGTGACTGTCCCAAAGGCCCCAGCCAGCTTTCACGCCTAAAGCAGGACCACAACTCACAGTCTCCCGATGACTGGCCCAAAGGCACCCAGTGGGCATTCATGCTTAATGTCAGACTAGAACTCACAATGTCCTGGTGATAGGACCAAAAATCTCCCAGCCTAAGGTGGAACTAGAACTCATTGTCTCCTGGTTTCTAATCCAGCACCTTGATCACTGTCCCAAACTGGGTCTCTGTTGTCATTGCTCAGTAGTGGCCCTCACTTTGGGGTACAACTGAAATTCTGTTAGCACTATATCAACCATCATTCTATGAGGATGCTAAGGAAAAAATCTTGCGCTGTAAGTGGAATATAATAGAGACTGATCCCCAGGAGGGAGGGGCTGTATTCCAGAGGAGTAAGAGGCAGCTCAGTCCAGATATTTTGTGAGAGAGAAAGAGGGTGAAGACAGTTCCTCCCTAATAGTTCACAGAGTATATGTTTGAGGTAAATATAGTAGAGTGCCTAATGTGGCAATGTTCTATCTATAGGTTTGGCAAGAATAATGAAATCAGCTTGGAAGAATCACTGCGTGTCTTCCTTGGTTCTTTGGACCTAAGAATACATTTGATGCTGCCTTACGATGACAGATTGAGTCATCCTTTTTGTGGTCACTTTCATTAATTTTATTTTGTGGTTTGTGTTTGTGCAATCTTGTGCTTTATATTTATTATAATAACTACTGAAGAATTTGATGAAGATGAAAATGATACAATGGTGGAAATACTTTAACAAAGCATAATTTCAGCTGGAATTTAAGAAAAAGAAACAAAAAGAACCATATAGGCATAATGTACAACTAGCTCAGCCTTTTAACACAGTATTAAATCTTGACCAAGTAGAAACACTGTGCTCCAACTTTCCATTACTACAATATAAAGACACTGCAGAAAATCAGCCAAGAACACATCTCTTTGACATCTGGAGTTTTCTTTCCACCTATATAGAATAATTCTCTCGGAATCTCAGATTCTGTATTGGGGGCGGGGGTTTAATTCAACATCATATTTGCATCTAAAACTGTTTAATTCCCCCCATTTGTATAAATTATGAACTGCTGTAAATTGTGTCAGATTTGGTGGTGTGGAAGCGTGATCAATCATTGAAGGCTAAAAGGCCATTCCTGCCTCCAGAGTCACAGTGGGGGAAGCGCTGAAGAAAGATGTGTGTCCAGGCACTTATTCCTGTCCCAGCTGTGTCAGCTGATCTCCTTGACGGGACTCTGCTGCCCTTTAGAAGTCAGTTCTGGTGGATTTCCTTATTTTAAAGGAACGTAGAGATGACTGTGGGGAAGGTACAGATATTCCTTGACTGATGATCACAACAGGAACCAGAATGTTTGTTGCTAAGCAAAACAGTTATTCAGTGATTTGATGACTTGATGACTTTATTGGCACAGTTGTGAAGCAAAACACGGCAACTGTTCAGTGAATCGTAAAGTTGTTCAGTGAATCTGGCTTGTCCCATTGACACTGTTTGTTGGAGGCTAGTTGGGAAGGTTGCACATGAGATGATGGACAGTGCTAAGCCTGTGTCAACTTCCATCCTGCAAGGTTTTCCTTCTATAGAAACAAAAACACTGATTTTGTTAGAGCCTTTGTTAGTCAGCTTGGCTTGATAGCAGGTAAAACAGTCTTCATCTTGTTTTTGGAAATGTTGGGTTGTCTGAGGCTTTTGGGCAAAAGTCTTTCCTGCTTGACAGATCCTGGCTAAATGACCCTTCCTTTGGCATTTTAGACAAATGGCATTCCTGAACTTGCAGGATGCCCTGAGGTGGTTTCCACCACAGCTTAGACAAATGGGCTGAGGCCCTGGAGGTAGATTGGGGTTTGGCCTGTTCTCCCTTTGACTGTTTTTTTGCTGCCTGAGGCGATTTACATCATTAGCCTCTTCTTAGCCTTCTTCATAGCCTTCTCTGTGGAGGCTTCAACGTAATGGATGGCTGAGCTGCTCTGGCTAATTGGATTTCCCTGAATTTCTGCTGCTGAAAGTGCTGATAGTTCAGCAGCTTGAGACACTTCAATTGCTAATTTAAGGGTTAAATCCCCTTTAGCCAATAGACACCTTTGTAGCCTTAAATCCCTGACTCCACAAACTAGTTGGTCTAATAACATGTCTTCCAGATAGTCTCTAAACCCACAATGCAAGGCAGCTGTTCGTAGGGCAGCCATGTACCCACTAATAGTCTCTCCCTCAGCCTGAATCCGTCTCCTAAAAGCATGACGCCTGGCAATTTGGGATGGCTTAGGGGAATAGTGGTTGGAAAGAATTTCCTGCAATTCTTCCCATGGAACAGTCTTAATTGAATGTGGAGCCAGTAATGCTGTAGCAGTGTCAAACACTGTGGCTCCGCAAAAACTTAAAAAGTAGGACTTTTTCCTATGGTTGGAAATGTCAGCGAGGTCTATGGCATCTAGGAAACAGTCAAATCGGTTTCTGTAGGATTCCCATGTTTCTGCTGTCAGTCTGAAAGGCAGGAATGCAGGGTTCGAAGTCATCTCGACTCAGCGGTGCCGGATCTTCCGAGGAAAGTTGAAATTCGTGCTCGCGAATAGTGGCAGTAAGCTCTTAAAGTGACATTCAGCTCGGTAGTGACTTTTTTGTAGTGACTTCGCTTAGCGATTCTTTGCCCGGTTGCCTCTTATATGTATCCCGCCCTCGTCGCCAGTTTTGTAGAGCGGTGGAATAACCTGAGGCGAACACGGAGCAAACTTCAGCTTTTACTTTATTGTAACAATAAAGGTTTTCCACGGCTGCCGCGCTAACAAGGCAGCCAGCTGGCGGACAACAGCTGATGCCGTTTGACAGCAACCTTTTATAGCTGGCTGTCAAACGGCATCAGCCAATAGGAACGGTCTGTGTTCCCACTGGAAACACGGACCGGAGTGAAGACTTCAGCTCAGTCTTTTCCGAACGCCACACTTTAGCTGGAAAATGGGAAAATCAATAGACAGCCAGTTGCAGTGGTGTATTATATGTTTTGGCTGCTCGACTCCCACACTTGAACACACTGTGTTTCCAAATCATTTCAAGGCAGCTTCCCATCAAACATGTTGCTGTGATCAAGAATGTTTGTGCTGCCTGATGCTGTTCTTCTAACAAGAAGAGCAGAGATGATTTTAAGACAGAATTGTTTAATCTGAACACACCATCAGAGCAGCTGACAAAAAAAAAATGGAATTATATTTTTAAATGATCTAGCTAGCGCAAGGATGAGGCTCCATTATTGCTGATTTGCCTGCGAAGCTTTAATGTCGGAATTTGGAAATGATGAAGGACTTCATGTGAGAGTGTGTTTAGCAGAAAGGATGTGGGTCATTTTCCTCTCCTTACTGAATTCTTAACATGTTTTCTTTACTCTTTTTTTTTACTTTTGTCTCTTCTCCTTCTTCCTCCTTCTCCTTGTCCTCCTCCTCCTCTTCCTTTTCCTTTTATTTCTCCTTCTTCTGCTTCTCCTCCTACTTCTTCTCCTCCTTCCTTTTCCTCCCCTTCCCCTTCTCTTCCCTTCCCCCTCCTCTTCCTCCTCTCCTGCCTGCCTCCCTCCATCCCTCCCTCCTTTCTTTTTCTTAATGTTCACAGGATATCCTACTGTACAGCAGACAAAGTACACGACAAAGTATTTGCCTACATTGCCCAGAGTCAGCACAACGAGAACCTGGAATGCCACGCTTTCCTCTGTTCCAAGAAAAAAATGGTCAGTATTAAGTGGAAAAGTCACTGCTGTGTTCATTTATTCAATTCATATGGCTGCCCATATGGCATTTCCAGTTTTCGGTAAAATCACCCCCATAGAGACCCATTGGTTCACTTAACGGCCAAGGCATTCGTTTAACAACCGCAGCAGCCAATGCATGCCCATCGTGTTTGCTTAACAACCGCCTCAAAAACGGTCATAAAACAGGGTCAGATCTCCCGAATAGCTATTTCTAATTTCAATGCTGCTTTCAAAATGTCCTTGAAAACTTTTCCTGCCAAAGGTGTTTTCCTTCTCCTCCTTTTTTTTTTCCCCCTAGACAAAAAATTGCCTGCTAATTTGACATGATACGAAGACAGGGTGCACATCTTCAAGGCACGGACTCTGTATGTCTATTTTTCACATCTCCAGCATATAATTACTCTGTATTTTTAGCGCCTGGGCAATTCACAACATTATCTGGGTCTATTAAACTTGATTTGAATGTGACAGCTGAAATTGTAAACAGCTGTGAGGAGTTTCATACTTAATTACCATATTTAAGGAGTTGTTGGGGTTTTTTTTCCTTCCCTTTTTCCCCCCCTGATAAAAAAAGCACTTTGCTCCTCCACCAAAGATTTAAATGGTTCTGACAAAATCTCTTTTTTTCCTTTCATGTCATACTGGGACAGGTACAAATTTTCCTCTGTTCTTCTAAACAGCCCCATCGCTCTGGTTTGTCTAGCACGCTAGCCAGTTAATGGGTGGGAGGTTTTATAGATTGGAATCCAAGTTTCTCATCAGCATCCTACAACTGGATATTTGAGGGGGGGGGGGTTATAGCATCCATTGATCTATAAGAAAACAAAATGTGTGTGCAAAATTCTCTACCTATTTATTTGTCATAACTCTCTTAGAGTGCCTGTCTTAGAGTGAATTATAGTTCTTGTTCGGGCATCTTGATAAGCCATAATTTTTCCGAGTTCTGCCTGGTACATATTATCTAATTCCACAATTGTGTAATGCTATACAGTATTGCTTTTGCTATATTGCTTTCATTCCAATGCTGTTGGCTAAAAAAAAAAAGTTAAAACCTGAAATAAAGAACAAAGTTTGGGTTTGCCTACGCAGAAGGTTAACAAACCACAGGTTTCAAGTACAGTAGGCTATTTCAATAAAATAACCTGGATTAAAACCAAACACAACATGTTGGGGTTTGGCAGAATGCATGAATGTTGCCACGCTTTGATTATCTCCTAAATTCCCAGGCCTTTATATGCCACAACATTTATTCCAGAATTGTGGCATCTCAAGCTGATTTTTGTGATGCATCTATTGATCAGCTGTTTGCAGCTTTGGAACTAAATTTTGCTGCAACTCACTGTTTTTTAGATAGGGATATATGAGGAGAGAAGAAACTGTAATATTAATCCTGTGCCAGCATGTAGTTTTGCGGAAGTTAACTGGAGTCTTTGATCCACTTTTACCTCAACAGGCCTTCTAAGCTAACTAGATGTGTAGGTAAAAATGGGTGCCACTTTCTGGATAGTTTGAAGAATGCTCCATGAATGGGATTTATATTTAATTGGCAGTTTTCATCACTTATAGAAAACATAGAAAACCGAGGGCAGGAAAAGGCCTAGTGGTCCATCAAGTCTGCCTTTTGAATTTATTTGTTTTTGTTTTCTTTTCAATTTATTTATTAATGTTTATTTGTTGCTTTTGTGTTTTCTTTTCTTTTTTAATTTTTGTTGGATGATGGACATACGTTTATCCCAAGCATTTTAAAACTCAGTTACTGATGATTGACCCGCTATCTTCACTGGAAGTTGGCTCTAAGCTTCCACTATACTTTCTGTGAAGTAATGCTTTCTAATGTTACTTTTGAATTTTCCTCCCGTCAGTTTGAGGTTATGCCCCCATGTTCTTGATTTTTACTTACTGTTGAAAATACAACCTTCTAAAACAGGGGTGTCAAAACTCAAGAACTGGGGGCCGGAGCCGGCTGCCCTGGAAACAGTGAAGGACCGGCTTGCGGTGCCTCTGCAAGCAAAAATGGAGCACGGGACGGCTGCCTGTGGCCCTCTCAAGCTCCATTTTCACTGACAGAGAGTTGCAGGAGGCCATCACTGCCGAAAACAGAGCGTGGGAGCCCCTTTTCGCTGGCAGAGCAGCGGAATCACCACAGGCACTCCCAACATGAGTGACGTCAAGCTGGCCATGTTCCCCCCGGCCCCCCGAGGTCAAACACAGGCCTGTTGCGGCCCTCAATGAAATAGAGTTTAACACCCCTGTTCTAGAACCTGATTCACGCCCTTAATATAATTAAAGGCTTCAGTCATGCTTCCCTTTCCCTTCTGTTCTCTTAGGGTGTACATACTCAGTTCCTCCAATCTGTCCTCATACGTTTGTTCCTCAGACCTTGTGCCATTTTTGTTACCTGTTTCTGGACTCACTCAATCTTATCAATATCTTTGATTAAGTGAGGTCTCCAGAACTAAACACAGTATTCCACGTGGAGCCTGATTAAAGCAGTAGCAGTAGCACTTAGACTTATATACAGCTTCACAGTGCTTTACAGCCATCTCTGGGCTGTTTACAGAGTCAGCAACTCATTTTACCAGCCTTGGCAAGATGGAAGGCTGAGTCAACCTTAAACCGGTGAGGATCGAATGCCTGGCAGTGAGCGGAATTAGCCTGCAATACTGCATTCTAACCACTGTGCCACCACAGCTTCTTGCCCTATTTAGCAGGGTTTGGACCTCTTCGTGATGATGCATCCCAGAACTTCCCCTCATTTAGGATGTGAAGAAACCCCAGTATTTGGAAGGATTAACTTCGAGTGTTGTACATCACCCAGAGTCACTTTCATATAAGATGGGCAGCTATATAAGTATAGTAACAAGACCTGTGTTTGTTCAATCAATCAATCAATCAATCAATCAATCCCTCCCCAGTTACCACTAGGAGGGTTCAGCCTGTAAATCTAAATACATAGAATTGATCTATGACTGGTTGGTTTCTCTCCCTCCCCCCTCCCCCCCCCAGAAAACACATGCACGGCTATATTCCACACTTCAATTCTAAGTTGAGGTATTAATAGAGGTGAGAAGAGAAAGAAAAAAAAGTGATATTCAAAAAGAACCCAACAACTCCATATTTATTTCCCAAAATGACCTGTACTAGGCCAGATAGAGGTCTAGAAGTTATTTGCAGAATATTTCAGGTTTTATCTCATTTCATAGGCAAAATAGACTCTTTTTAACCCTGCAGGCTAGGGGTCTCCAACCTTGGCAACTTAAGCCTGGAAGACTTCAACTCCCAGCTGGCTAGGGAATTCTGGGAGTTTAAGTCTGGCAGGCTTAAAGTTGCCAAGGTTAGAGACCCCTGCTGTAGGCCAAATGGAAGGGATTGGGAAGAATCTTTGAATGAGAAATTATCCAGTAGTTCAACATGCCTCTTGTTGTGGTTCGCTGGCAGCAGGTGTGGATGGCTGAGGTCTCAGAGAGCGAGGACTCAGATGAGGGGCCTGCATGTGATGCAGGGATGGGGCCAGGACCATCAGGGAGTGGAGTGCTGCCTTCGGAGATTGTGGAGGCTGGCAGCAGTGATGAAGAGCTCCCCGAGGAGCCTGTGCCCAGTGTGCGCAGGGCTGCTCGAAGGAAAGAGCAGCTGCAGCAGCACAGGCAACTCGGGAGTAAGGCTGCAAGGTAATGGCCCCTCCCTGAGGAGGTAAAAGCCAGCTGAGAAACCGGAGTTCTTTGCAGGAAGCAAAGAAGTTTTTTTACTCAAGCCTGGTGGACGTTCGGAATATCTTGGTTGGTGTTTGGAGACTCTTTGTGCTTGAAATATTTCTTAGTAACTTTAGCTAGAGTTTTTGGCAGCCTTGCACAACCTTGGCAAGGCTCATTATTATTGGAGACAATTAATTTGAAACAGCCTTTTAACCGTGAAGGAACGGAATTCATAAAGAATCATTAGAAGGTTTTTCTGTTACCTCCGTTTCACGTTTGTTTCCTTGGAACAAAGTTTGGGTCAGAACACCTCTTTCCCTTTTGGGGGGAATCTCTCAGTTACGTTGAACTGAGAGTTAGTGGCTAGAACAAAGTTGTTTCCCTCAAATTTGCAACAGTCCTATTTTAACTACTGCACCATGCTGACTTACGTTTAAAGGAGGGGTGGATTTTTCCCCCCCAAAATGAACCACTTTCTGTAGTCAAAGCAATTCTCTATAAACTCTACTCTTCCTCTTCAAAGAAAGGAAGACAAGCCTTCCAAATAATTGTGTGAATTCACCCGAGGTTTTCTGCAGCTGCCTCTTGACTCTCTGTAGCCACAAGACTGCCAGCAACACTATTAAATTGAGTCTTAACTGGTGTGGGACCGACAGAGCTGTAGAAGGAGGAAGGAGGCTCCTGGCTTAACGTATCTCCTTCGCTGGGTTCAGATCTGCAAAAGGAGCTGCCTATTAGTGCCCCATTATAATTGCTGTTGTATCTGTTTTTTTCCCTCACCCCCCCCTCCTCTCCCTTCAGGCTCAAGCCGTCACACTTACGGTTGCTCAGGCTTTCAAGGTAGCATTTGAATTTTGGCAGGCATCCAAGGAAGGTGAGTGTGAAATCCAGCTACTCCTGATGGTCTCAATAAGAGGACTGAGAGCGGCCGTGGTTTTTTGCTTTTTCATGGTTGTTCTTAATGTTTGAGTTTCTTGTGGATCATTGTTTGTTTTTATTTTATTTATTTTTTCGTCAGTGTGTTTAGGAGACTGCAAGGGGAATGTGTTGCATCAAATTGGGATAGTTCTGTTCCACTTTTAAGTACAGTAGCTGTCATGCCCCTTGGTGGAGACTGACTCTGAGGGAGAGGAGGAACAGCCGACAGGGAGTGGAGGTGTGGCTCCGGAGGTTGTGGAGGAGGCTGGGGAAGGGCAGAGGCCGGCTGAGCAGTCAGAGGAGGACCCGGCCCATCCCCTCTTCATCCTAGGGCATGCAGGGAGGGGAGGATAAGGGAGAAACCTGGTTTACTGGGGAGGAGAGGGCCTTGATCCTCTTCATGGGCTGCAGCTGTGACAACTGGATAAGAGGACAGACATGTGTACAGGCGAGTGCTGGAAACAAAGCATGGAACTTTCTCTAGTTTATTGTTCCTCTCTGAGTTTGACGTCCTTCCCAGTGTGTGTTCTGATATCTGTGGACGTCTTCAAGCCCTTATCTTGCCTGGTTTGTGTTGTTTTTTACTCTTTTATAATTTAAACGGCATTTCCTCCTTCTCGTAACTGCTCGTGTGGGAGGTTTTTTTTCTCCAGTCAAGGATATTTGGAAGCTTGGAAGCAAAATGAAGAAACAAAAGGGGCTTCACTTTTTTTGTGACTGTGTTTATTTTGTATCCCACCCTGGGTCATCACAATAGTCCTCGACTTACCTCGAATTGAGCCCAAAATTTCCATTGTTAAACAAGGCAGTTAAGTACTTTTGCCCCATTTTATGAGCTTCTTATTTGTTAAGCGAATCCCTGCAGTTGCTAAATGACTTGTGCAGTCATTAAGTGAATCTGGCTTCCCACGTTTGACTTTGCTTCTCAGAAGCCAGGTGGGAAAGTTGCAAGTGGTGATGAATGACCCCAAGACAATGAGGCTCTCTTAAATACATACCAGTTGCCACATGCCCCAATTTTGATGACATGGTTTATGGGGATGCTGCAACAGTCCACAAGTGTGAACACCATCATAAATCACTTTTGTCCAGTGTTGTTGAAACTTCAGTCACTAAACAAATGGTTGTAAGTCAAAGACTAGCTGTATAATCTTATTTCTCAGGATTCTGGTGGAAGATTGGTGAGCGGGTTGCTGCCGTGCCTCCCACCCACCCCCACCAATCCCTGCAACGTGAAAATTTATCCCATTCCGCCTTTCAATCGGTTGCTAGTATTTAATGCTTAGGATTGCTTTTCATTGTTGCTGTTGTTGTTGTCACCTTGGATGATGTAGGTGGCTGAGCATTGGTCAGCCCTCGCATTTGGTCTAGAACAGGGGTGTCAAATAGAGGATTGTGGGATGACCTGGGGGAGCCCTGGGGGCATGGCCAAGATGGGTGTGGCCGCCATGACATCGCTCGTGTCAGGGGTTCCTGTGGCGGCCCAAGCGCTCTGCCAGCAAAAATGGGCTCCTGGGCCCTGTTTTCGGCGACCGGGTTCTCCTTTTGCCCTTGGCCAGCAAAAAACAGAGCTCGGAGGAGGGACCGCGTGCCTCCCCCGAGCTTCGTTTTCATAGGCTGAGGGCTGCAGGAGGCCCTAGGGGCCAAAAGCAGAGCCTGGGACAGCTGCCTGTGGCCCTCCCAAGCTCCATTTTTGCTGGCAGAGGCACCACGGATTGGTCCTTCCCACATTTACTATAGATGCTCCTCAACTTCCAATGACAACGGAGTCCAAAATTTCCATTGTTAAGCAAGACAGGTGTAAATTTTGCCCCATTTTATGACCTACCTTGCCACAGTTGTTAAGTGAATCACTGTAATTGTTAATACCACATTTATTCAGTCAATCTGGATTCGACATTGCTTCACCACGTAAGAGCCGTGGGGGCACAGGTGTTCGAACAAAGTGTTGCAGGTGAATTCTGCTGACTGCCAGCAGTTCAATCCTGAACCAGCTCAAGGTTGACTCAGCCTTCTGTTCTTCCGAGGTGGGTAAAATGAGGACCCAGATTGTTGGGGGGCAAGAGGCTGACTCTGCGGACTGCTTAGAGAGGGCTGCAAAAGCACTGTGAAGCGGTATATAAGTTTAAGTGCTATTACTTGCGAAGGAAGGAAGGAAGGAAGGAAGGAAGGAAGGAAGGAAGGAAGGAATCCATAGTGGCACAGTTGTTAGAATGCAGCATTGCAAAGGTAACTCTGCCCACAGCCAGGAAGTTCGATTCTGACCTGCTCAAAGTTGACTCAGCCTTCCATCCTTCCAAGGTTGGTAAAATGAGGACCCAGATTGTTGGGGGCAAGAGGCTGACTCTGCAAACGGCTTAGAGAGGAGTGTAAAAGCACTGTGAAGCCGTATATAAGTCTAAGTGCTATTGCTCGTAAAAGGTAATCACATGACCCCAGCACACTGCAACAGTCATAAATACACGCCAGTTGCCAAGCATCCTAATTTTGACCAGAGGGATGCTGCAGAAGTTGTCAAAGCATAAAAAACAGTGGTGTCATGTTTTTGTTTTCCAGTGCCGTTGTAATTTCAGACGGTCACTAAATGAATGGTTGCAGGTTGAGGACTGCCTACCTCCCTCATCGCTGCACACACATTAACAGGCTCCCTTCTAGCTATTGAGGAAATGCATCCAGCCAGGGCTTCTGGTTGCAGCTGACCGCCTGGTATTAATGGAGAATACGCAGACAGTGAGCCATCTGTCTCTTTGTCAGCGGCGGATTGGTTGGAGCAGCTGCAGGCACGTCGGCCCCCTTCCAGACTGAATGTAGCTGTAATTAAATGGCTTCCCCAGGCTTGGCATCCTGCTGGTAGGAGGAGCCCTCCCAGTTGGCTGCTGCTGTTCAACAATCGCAAAGGCTAAAAGGTTGGCGTGTCTAAGAGAGAGATCGGCTTCCTGTGTCTCTGCCATTGAGTCGCCCCAAAGGGACACTCACTCTGCATATGGAGAGGCTCCGGGCTTCCCAAAAACATTTTCCACTGGGAATCCTCTCTTGCTGGAAACCCACAAGACCACTTCCTTTCTTAGTTGATGTTAGACCATCTTTCTCTTCCCTTCTTCCTTCTGCCTCTCCTTCCTTCTTTCCCTTCTTCCTTCTCCCTCTTCTTCCTTTCTTTCCTCCTTCCTTCCTTCTCCCTCTCCTTCCTTCCTTCCTTCTCCCTCTCCTTCCTTCCCTCCTTTCTTCCTTCTCCCTCTCCTTCCTTCCTTCCTTCCTTCTCCCTCTCCTTCCTTCTCTCTCTCTTTTCTTCCTTTCTTCCTTCTCCCTCTCCTTCCTTCTCCCTCTCCTTCCTTCCCCCTCTCCTTCCTTCTCCCTCCTTCCTTCCTTCCTTCTCCCTCTCCTTCCGTCCTTCTCCCTCTCCTTCCTTCCCCCTCTCCTTCCTTCCCCCTCTCCTTCCTTCCTTCCCTCCTTCCTTCTCCCTCTCCTTCCTTCCTTCTCCCTCTCCTTCCTTCTTCCTCTGCTTCTTTCCTTCCTCTCCTTCCTTCCCTCCTTCGTTCCTTCTCCATCTCCTTTCTTCCTTCCCTCCTCCCCTCTTTCCTTCCTTCTTCCTCTCCTTCCTCCCTCCCTTCCTTCTTTTCTCT